ATTCTAAGTATAATTGTATTTATATGACATAAATAACAAAATTATAAATAGTTAGTTAGATAAATGTTTAGTACTAATCTGAAGCTGTAAGCTAGTACATATTAATCATTATATAAATTATTTTAATAAAAAAAATGTTTAACCCTTGTTTTAGCACAATTGGCAAATAAGATAATTTTTTTTAGAACCCCCAATAAAAAATGAACAAGAATTTAATATGAGGGAAGAAGCCATCCAATTATAGAATTCAGCATATTTTAATATGCATTATTTATAAAAAGTACCAGTTAACACATTATCTTGGAAAATGTAAATATATATATATATTTTTACATTATTTAAAAGCATTACATAACTACCTACGTTTTTGAAAAAAAATCCTTAAATAAAATTTAAGTATATAAAATACATACCAGTAAGTACTTTGCATATTATCGTATGCAAAATTTATTAAATATAAATATTGTTTTTTTTTTTTTTTTTTTTTTATCAACCGTGATCTGTTAAAAATAAAAATAATTGTTTTGTTCGGTTTCGATTAACTTTCGATGGTTTCAGGTTTGTTGCAATTCCGAAAGATTGGATGGACAAATTGTATAGTTCGTCGATTTGGTACCACATAAAATAATATATCTAAATAACTACGTATGCCTGAAGTACCTACTGTAGTAGTGTAATTTTTTATCGCCGTGTACGAACTAACGTTGCTTACAATATGGTCCTCGATAACGCCACTGATAACTAGTAAGTTGCGTGGCTCGTGGATTTTCAATTTTCTAGACTTCTAACAATTCTAGCACTAAAAATTTCAAATGATACATCGTGAACAGCCGTCGAATGTCAATAAATACATATAATAAATATTATATTATTATTATTATTATTATTATTTATCACACATTTGTATATTATAAACAATTATAAAAACGCGATATTTTATGATACAATATGTTATTTGTCAAAAATCAGCACTTGAAATCGATTTCAATTGATCTTGTGCCGTCGCTAAAATCAGTCACTCTAGCATTACCAATTACCACCTCATAAAAATAACAGGTACTTGTTAAAACAGTTATCGGTGTGCATTGTACATCGGTAAAAAATATGAATCACGAAAAAAAATCCCAGTAAAAGAAATCATAGTAAAAAAAGTCCCACGCTAGAAAAAATCAATTAATTAAAAAAAAGCCAAAAATAATAAATACCTATGTAACTGATTATTATAATAATGCAATATTTTAATCACACCTCTTTCGTATATTATGAGTTGATGACTTAAGGCTACTAAAAAACTTAATACACTGAATTTACACACTTGTATTTGTATAGGTATTAGGTATATACATTTGGTTGATTTTTTTTTTACTGGGCGAGTTTATCCTAATTTTTTAATATTTCTTGAATCTTCTACAGGCTACAGCATCTAAAGCTAGTTTCGCTTCATTTGCAGTAATTTCCATTTTTATTTTTCTAGTTAATTTCTAAATATTTTTTTCAAGTCGATTATTTCACCATTTATATTATTCGTTCGATGCCCTCCTACCAAAGTAGTTTTATGTAAATTTCACGAGGAATAGGTGAGTGAAAGTATTTAAAAATATTAAGTAGAAGTTGAACTTACACGCCTATAAGTACCATTTATATAATCTTTTTTTTTTTTCGTTGAAACGATCTCTAGGTCTTTGTCAATGCTTATCACAAGTGAGTAGTAGGGAGATTATGTGATCTATTTATCTATGTATATACCAATATATGCATGATACTACCCCTCTTTTCCAAGAGGAGACATGTGCGGTTTTCATATAATCTGATTTGAAATAAGTTAAAAAATAAAAAATCATTCGTGTTTGTTAGCAATATTTTCAAAAATTACTAACTTCTTTATATATTGGTGACAAACCAAGTTTCTGAACTTTTCAATGTGTCAATTGACACAAATAATAAAAACGTGCGTTAGTTATGATATAGATTCCGAAAATATTTTTTGCAACATTTATGACTGCTAATTCAAAATGTCAATGTAAAAATATTGGATTTAGTTATAGATCACGAATCTGATATTATTTTAACATAACACTAAATATTTGTAGATTTAATTTTTTTCTGCAAAATACAATAAACTAATGAGACAAGTACTGAATTTATTTGTACACAATTTACGTAAATTTGGTTGAAAGATTTAGGGGCGAAATCAAAATTTCCGTCGACAATTCAGATATTAAAACAATAATTATCAGTGGCAAACATTAAAATTCTATCATCAGCATTCGGGCCACTAACCACTATCATTCAGTAAAAATCTTTCAAAAGAATACAAAAGATACGGGTTTTGATAGTTACATGGTAGACGACAAATTGTTCTAATTTATATGTACAAGCATTTTATACATCATACATTAAAATACAAAATACAATTTTAGAACTGTTCAAGAATAAGCATTTGGTAAATTTTTCACTAAACTTTTTTTTTCCTAAAGTGGGACTTTTTTTATCTGGAATTGTTTTTCCAATTACCTATAAATATATATAATAATAATCCCAATTTATACCAACCATTCCTAAAAATATGTAACACAACTAAACATTAAATTTTATCTTTGAACTAGTATTTTAGTTTGATATAGGGAGTATAGCAGACGAGTACATGTGAATTCTTCTTATTTTCAGATATCTATTCAATTTTTGAGTAGGATATTTTTTGCACATATTCATTACATCCAAATTCCTACATAAAGCTGAACTTTTTTTCATTGAAATTATTGTTTCCTGATATTTTTAGAAACAATTCTACTATACCCAAATAATATAGTTAAAAGTTCTATTGATAATAAATAAATATAATATAGATATATTTCATAAAATAAATGTAAAATACGCACTACTATCGGTTATTATAATGATTAATTTCGTAAATTATAGATCAGAAATTATCAGCTAAAAATAAATTTATTACCTTATTTAATACAAACTAACATATTCAGTAATGAATAATCGTATTGGGACTTTAAAGTTTTACAAAATTTTCTATCGTCATTCAAATTTGACACATTCAATAAACATTACTTATATATTATATATTTATATATAATACATACTCAATGAGGTCTATCAGGTTTATGTATTGTCACTACTAGTCTGCCACTGCAATCAGACTCCGGTAATTTCTAAAAAAAATTACTTTAGAGTAAGAATATTCTATTCTAATTACAATTATGTAATATAATTTACCAAAAATTATAAAAATATTATGTACTAATAATGTTCTCTCATCATCATTAAAATAATAAATAGATCTTTTATGAAGACATTTATTATGAATTGAATTATTATTGTTTGATGATTTATGAAAGAACTAAGAAGTTATGACAAATTGGAAATATTATATATTGTTAAGATATTGATGCGATTAGATATTATAGATAATTCGAAGTCTGCCTATTGCAAAGTAAATTATATATTTATACAACTAATAATTTGTAGAACGAACGATTCCGAGTGGTGGTTTTGGTCGTTTTGGACGTTCAATAAAAGATTCAGCCTTGAAAATTTGGAAGGGTTAATAATAGTAGCAGTACGGGTGGCGTAATTCTGTCTAAAAGGGAGGGCATTTGGTGGGTTCATTGTTTCTCAACGATAAATCCATCAAAACACCAGCCACGTAAATAATCGTGGACACGAAACGCGACGTCGCACTTCAGAATTGAACGCTATCGAAAAAAAAATACTTCATCCCACTATCCTAGTATAAAAATATCAAAAATAGAAAATAGAAAACGTATTCGACATTCCGATTGTTCGGTTGGATAGACATAGACATACTTAATATATTGGGCACAACCATTGATCACAGTAAGTATATACCAGGTATACCTAACCTACCAATCATTATATAAATATATAATATTATAATCAATGGTACAAAAACGAAGAGGTTTCGACTCGCTGATGACGATGGCACCAATATAATTTGTACTTAGGCGAATATTGCCCGTGTAAGTTTATGGGGGGGAGGGGCAATTACTATGAATCCGGTTATGGCTGCAGTGCGATAGTATATACCTAAAATAAACTAATAACGCGGCACAAATGCACAATTGGTTATCAAAATTTTCGATTCTTTACATTAAGTGTGCAGAAAACTGTAAATAATATTATTTAATGATTAATACGATAGTCGGTGAATATATAGGCACCTACAGCTCTCCTGTTTGTATCTACTCACATTATTACATTATTATCTCGTAGATCAGATGTCCGTTTACGTGTTGAGCGAGAAAAGACTCGAACATCATAAGATGTTAGTGCCCCCATCCACCACATTTGATGAGGTTCTAACAATAAATTATAAAACACAACCCAAACCAAATCCTCCGTAGTCTATCCAGTGGCGTAAGTATTGATTGAGTAGCTCGTTTACCTCTGGAGTTTGTTAGATACATATTACATAATAGTACAATGTTAAATTTGTATCGATAATAATGAAATTTACCAAATTAGCATTAAATGAAAATAACAAATTTGTATTGTGGGGAGAGTTAATCACCCACCCCCTCTCCCGTTCAGAGGTCGTGATGCAGATACGCCACCGTGTCTGTCGATATTTATATATATAAACATTATGTACATGAAATTATGATATATGCAGGGAATAATAAATAATAATAATAATAATAATAATACAAGCAGTCATCGCCATTGTATATTGAGGTCAAAAACCGAGCGACAGTGTGCGTGTGCGTGTGCGTGTACACGATATTCGCGTACATCTGGTGAGTGCCGAGTGGTGGAAGCCCTCCCACGAATGTAGGTCGAACGAGTGGACAGTGGTAGGCATTGGGCCGCAGCGTAGGCGGGCGGGCGGCGTGGCGCACGCGCCGATCAACTGCGCAAAATCAGCTGTGCACCGGCGGTGTCGCCATCTACCGGGAATTTTTGGCACCACGCCACCCGTCCCGTAGTATGAACGGCGATGACGGCCGACGGCGACGAGCTACCGCCAGCAGTCAGCACTGCAGCCGTAGTCGTATCGTAGTTGCACCGTTGTTTCAGCCGTAGTCGTAGCGTTTTACACACAATAACATAGCATAGTTGTACGTGTGTTTGTGTGTGTGTGTGTCTGTGTGTGTGTGTGTGTGTGACTGGTGCGTGCGCGTTGACGGCCTACTCTCTGTGCGTGTGCGAGAAGTGTGTTCGCGTTTGTGTGTGTGTGTGTACGATCCGTCGCGATGATAAGTGCCGCTGGTGGCAATTGCAGCAGTTGTAGTAGTTTTAGTCGTAGTAGCGATAGCGTACGCATTAATAATTTTCACTGTTGTGCCGTTCCACGGTTCGCAGTTTTCTCGGTTTGAAGGCAGGCGCTCCGGGGACTCGCTCGTCGCGTTTTGACGTGGTTTTAAATCGTTTTTTATTTTCTTCATTATTTTTTAACTCGAGTTTCCTCCCCCCCCACCCACTCGTGTATCGTTTTTTTTTTTCGCCTTATCCCCGGCACCCGTCCGTGTGTGTCGTACTCGGATCGTCAAAACTAAATACTACGCGGTGGCGATGTCTGTGGTACAAATGGCGGCCAGCCCGAACAACAGCAGCAATAACACGACCGTGGTAAACTCGGACTGCGGCGGCGGTTCCACCGTCGGCGGCAGTGGCGGTTCCGCGGCCGTCAACGGCAGCGCGACCAGCCCATTCGGCCAACAAGGCGAGGATCGGCTGAAGGGCTTATACCCGATGGTAGACGAGGACGACACACCATTGCCACGGAGCTGGAACTCCAAAGACAAGTTCACTAATCTTGGATTGTCGCAGAACAACATACGTGTACACTACAAAGGTATATACCTAACTACCACAATGGTCTGACCATTTTTTTAATAGCGTGTTTTAATTCGTTATCATCCACACCTTAATTCGAAACGGCTTGCCGATATAATTACAGAATTCCCAGTCGCAGTCTACGTATTTTATATTTTTATTATTACTACTATATATGTGGGTAACAAAGAATCAGCTGTTCATTGTTTTGTTTTGCGCGCACTGGCCCACTGTTGCCCCGGCGGTGCCACAGCGTTGGGGTAGAGGGGGGAAGGATATGGCTATGGTATTGGTATGATATGGTATGTGTGCCGTGTGGTACCCGATGGGTCGGGTAATGTCACTGTTCCGATCCCTACTCTATCGACGAGCGATCACACTCAAAATATACCCCATACCGAGACGCTGTACTCGGTAGTCAATAGCGAGCTCGCCGCTCCTGCATTTCTGATTCGTATCCCGAGTGCTTGGCTACTCACTCCTCGATTTCCGCGTCTTGAAAGTCTTTTCAGTTAGGACGACCCGTTTCTTCGCGCCCTCTCCCAAGTTTTTGTTTTTCTATTTTTTACTCGGACCATGAGTTACCGTGCCAAGGTCGCGCCGAGGCTCTTGATCTCGTTCGTGTCAATTCAACCCCCTCCATGACCGTCGTGTGTATTGTCCAGTAGGCCCGTATGGTTTTTGACTTGCGGATGTTTCCTGCGCAGAATAAGATGTCTCCCCACCCACCCTCGCTTGCACACGGCCATTTCGCAATATCGCGGCTGTTGCGCAAATACTGAGATCAGAGTGTTTGGCGCACAATAATAACGTCCTACCCACTTTTAGATCGAGATAAATTATCATGTCTACATTAATTATTGGCTGGTAATTGTCTGTAATAGGAATATTGTTAAAGAAATTTTAAATAACCACGCATTTACCTGTAATATGTAATTAATTTTACTTCCCTGTATAGGTATTTATTAAAATTTTTAATACTTTTTTAATCCTAAATGTTATAAAATACTTCTATAACTTGAACCTAAATTTAACCAAACTGCGATCAACCAAACTGAGTGATATACAATTTTATGGTTATTAATTTTTAGTGTATGATCTACCTTGGTATTGACTATTGTCCATCATACTAAAATTATAATATTTACTTAAAACAATCAAACTAAAATTAACACAAATAAAGTAAAATGGGTAAATTATATTAACGTTCCTAATAACACAAACCGCTTGACTGATGAAGTAAACTATTGATCTTATAATTTTTGTGGTTACCAATCATATTATATTTATGAAAACATTATTGATTTATTTATTTACCCTACCTTGATGGACTTACCTAACTTCGCCTCAACATTTACAAGAAGTTTTTTAAATAAAAAAATTTAGACACTTCAGTTTTAAAAATCTTTCTCATTTGTATAGCATAAATCAAATACTTAGTTACCTATTTGAGACTTCTCAATTTAAATGAAGATATGTAAAATCAGTGAATTAGATACTGACTCCAAAAAAAGTGCTAATTGAATACATATTGAAATAATATCTATTCCTTAATTAAATAAAAATGTCATTGTTTACTTACAGAAAAGCAACACAGATTATCTTAATTTTTAATACAATAATTATATCTATTGACCTAATTACTACTATTATAACTCCTTAACCTATTTATAAAAATTTCATTGAAAATCCAGTGTTATATGTCTATAGTATTTTTATAAGTAGATAAATAGGTATTATTATGTACATTTTTATTTTAGATATATTTTCTAATATTTAGGTTATAAAGTCTATTAATTTGAATTTACATCAGTGGTTCTCAATCGGCTGTGTCGACTAAATTTTTTTAATATTTTTATTTATACCTACTTGAAGTTTTGGCACAATGATAAAATTACTGATGTTTCTGGTAAATCTTAAATAATTTCTTTCTTAAGATTTGTCAATAAAAATTAAATAATATATAAATTTTTATTTACCATGAATTTCAAACTACAACAAGAGTTGAACCTAATTTCACATATGTGTGAATCAGCATTTTTGATATTAGAAACCAAAAAAAAAAAATGTCTATGCTTAAAAATATTGATAATAAATTATGCTTAAGTTTGTCAATTATTTAGCCATAAATTGAAGCCTATGTTTAATCCATCAATTACAAGCATCACACTGATTTACTTTAAAAAAATATAAACTCTAATACCTTAAATTTAAATACTTAAACTGTTTAACCATATAAATTCATATATATAGTGGCAACACAACTTTAATAATTTACATAAGTTTATAATTGTTATTTTTTCAAAAATCTGTTGATTATTTTATGTTATCCATTTTTATGAATCCAAATTAGGATGTTATCATATATAAAAGGTTGAAAATCACTGATTTACATAGTTTGATATTTATAATTTTTTACAAAGGAAATTTGTGTAAAATTTTTGTTTTTGTGCCATATTTTTTAATCAAAGAAAATTATATCTAAGGTATACATAATTTTGTGATTTATTTCAATTTCTATTTCATGAAATATTGTATACATACAATAGAGCCTCGATAATCCAGACAATTTCAGACTGGGCATCATCTGGATTACTGAAGAGTTTTCAACATTACCTACTCAAATGATTTTTTTCTTAATTCCACCACCTTTTTATTTATTGTACTTTAAATTTAAAAAAATAACAAAATAACTTTGACATAATGAATTACAAAAAAATATAATAAAAAGTACAATATTTAATTATTTTTTTGAAATAACAGAGTTAGTTCATTTGCTGAAAAAATAATCTTGAACATTGAGTACTTAATGCATTACTGTACATATTTATATAGTATTAATACATATCCTCCTACAAAACTTAATAACAATGTTTATGTATTGTATTGACTTCCTTAATCCATTTCATGCTTGTTAAATAAAAATAGATACCTATTTAAATATATTTTCTTTCTAAAATATTTAATTTTTTAAATTATAAACCTTGATATTATTTATTTAAATAATAAGAAATTTAACACTTTAATCATTATTATCATTTAGTAGCTTAATCATGTAATACAATATAAGTAAACAATTATTTAAATTAAAACACTATAAAACTAAGTTAAATAAAAGATAAAGCAATTAAAACAAGTATAAATTAACATCTTATAGCTAATGAATATTGCTAGCTTTTATATATAAATGACTGTCAAGTTATATTATGCAAAGTTAGTGTTGTATTCGAGACTATAAAGTTCTATACATTTCTTGCATTCCATTAGATTTCATAATCCAATATAAGTGGCTGACTGGCAACAGTCATAAGCTGGAAAATCAATCATATTCCATTTGAATAGCACTTATCTGTATTTTGGATGTATTATTTTATGTGTCCCCTTATAATAATTTTAGTGTGAAGCAAAAGAAATTGGATGATTGAATCTCTTAAACCCATTGATAGCTAAATTAATTTGAAAATCTATGTATAAATCTACAATTTTTTCTTTTTGTTCTGAGTCTCAATCAATTCTTTAGTGGAGGTTTCCTTGATTATGTCTCAATGTGTAATTTGTAGGAATTTCTTCGTGGATTTTCAGTTTCTTACCTGTATATTTAGCCCTTTATCGTGTAATGACCATCACACATCAGATATAAATTGGAAGGATATTACTACCCATTATTAGTTACAAGTAATTTTTACTTTATTGTTTATAATGACTATATTTTAGTTGAATTTCTGTTTAAGAATTCTTCTTCAAGCTGATTAATAAGTTTTTAGATAATGTTTTTCCGGGAGAACCAATCCTATAGATTAATTGTAACAAATATCATAGGGTAATATAAGTGAGTGGATGTAGACATCTTAAGCTTAAAATTGGTAAATACTTTACTTTTCAAACTACTATGTTTCAAGAGAAACTTAAAAAATTGTTTAAAATTAATATTAAAAAGGAAGTTAATAAACCTTTTATAGGTAATAGGTATATTACTATAAAGAAATTTGTCATTAGTATTCAGATGACAATGACATCAACACCTTTGTTTTTATTTATTCTGATTTTTGAGGCAGTATCTTATAAATAAATTTTTTCACGTCACTTCTCTATCATCAAAAAAGATATTTAAGAATGAGATTATATGCTTATATGTAGTACTCAAATATTTAGATGAAACCTTAAATAATAGAAAAGCCATGCCTATTAGCTATTTCTAAGAAATCAATAATAAATAATAGTAGCTAGTACATTCTTTGCTTCATTCAAATACATTACCTTTTTTTGTCTAATTATTTATTTTACTTGACATGACCATTTAATATCTTCTTTCTTTTTTCTTTTTTTAATTCAAAATTTTATATTATTAAATAATATATAGTATTTTATAATACTGTTTATTTTAATGTTGAGTATTAGTCAAATTGCATAATAATTTATGTTTAAGTTATTGGCATTTATACAAGGTCTATCTTTTATTACTAAATTAAATTATGTAATCTAAAATAATTTAAAAAATTGGTTAATTTATGTAACAAGTAAACACAGGCATTTTTATTAGTTATATTTTAATCAAATGTTGTTGCTAATAACATCCTACATTACCTTTACTACTTTTATAAACTTTAAATTACTTACTAAGTATTCTAGTTCACTATTAATAAAATTAAATAAATTTGTATCAAATAATTCAAGTGTAAAACTAATGTACCTAATAAGATATTCAATAAATAATTGTATGCAAATAATAATATTTTCATTTATTTTTATTTAGGTCATGGTAAAACACATAAAGATGCAGCCAGTGTTAGAGCCACACACCCTATTCCTGCTTCTTGTGGCTTATATTATTTTGAAGTAAAAATAGTATCAAAAGGACGTGATGGTTACATGGGGGTTGGACTTTCAGCCCAAGGAGTCAATATGAATCGTTTACCAGGTAAAATTAAAAATTTTGAAATTAATTTCTTCTTACAATGTAAAATACATGCGTACTAATTATAAACATAATTTTAGGTTGGGATAAACATTCATATGGTTATCATGGTGATGATGGTCATTCATTTTGCTCAAGTGGCACAGGTCAACCATACGGACCTACCTTTACTACTGGCGATATTATCGGTTGTGGAGTAGATCTTGTGCACAACCATTGTTTTTATACTAAAAATGGAACCCATTTAGGAACAGCATTTACTGACCTTCCTGTGAGTAATCACTTAAAATTATTTATTTTTATTAAAAATTTAAAAATTGAATTATTATTTTTGAGTGATTTAAATGTATGTCAGTGTACTATTTATGTATTTTCTGTAACCTAGAGGTATGCACAGTTCTATTTTTCAAAATTCATTATGTATTGTTAGCTTTAGTGAATTCACCTTTCATCAAACTAAAGTTAGAATATTGTTTATATTTGTAGATCGGATATTTATTATATTTAAATTGTTTTAAACATTTTAGACAAGCACTTATTATCAGCATAAAAATTGAAGTATTGTAAAAATAAAATAAATTTATAAACATAAACATTGTTATTAACTTCAAGTTAGATAATAGGTCATTTCACTCTAATATTGAAGGTGAACACATGATTAGTTCTGCTGATTACAAATTAACTATATTAAATACAAATCAAAAAATTATTAATCAAATAATGCATTACCGTTCTCTTGAGTTATATTGTTTATTAAATTTTACTAATATTTTAATTTTTTTTCCAGCCAAATTTATTTCCCACTGTAGGATTACAAACACCTGGTGAGGTGGTTGATGCCAATTTTGGACAGTTGCCATTTGTGTTCAAAATTGAAGAAATGATGAAAGAACTCAGAAGCCAGACACAAATGACTATTCAAAATTATCCTTTTTCTTATCCATATTCACAGTGCCAGACAAATTTCCATAAGTAAAATAAAATAATTATAATTTTATAACTACCTAGTAATAATATTAATCTTTGTTTCAGAATGGTTTCTACTTATTTAGTTCACCAAGGTTTCTGTGCAACTGCAGAGGCATTTATTTCTCAAACTGATCAATCATTTGAAGAAGAGATTGCTTCCATAAAAAATCGCCAAAGTAATTTTGAACTATCTAAAAATTTAAAAATTTAGACTAATAATTAACGTGTAACAATTTATGTAGAAATATTAAAATTAGTTTCAACTGGTCGAATGGGAGAAGCTATTGAAATGACCAATAAGCTGTATCCTGGGTTACTTGAATCAAATCGTAACCTTCTATTTAAGCTCAAATGTCGTCAGTTTGTTGAAATGGTTAATGGTACAGATTCTGAGGTAACATCCCGTTCTTATGATAACGTTGAAATTCATACAACAACTCGTCCTTCGCCAAAACGTACATTACAGTCAAATCGAAGTCCAACATCTATACAAACCAACGGGTATAAATAATTTTAAAATCACTTAATAGAATAAATTTACAATTTTCATTTTATTTATTTATTTATTTATTTATTATTAGAAATATAAAATGTCAAAAATTATCAAATACTACTGAAGTGACTGAAATAAATTCAGTGAATTTGATATTGAATGGTTCTTCGGATATTACTACAATTAAAACGATTAAAAATGGTACACCAAAAATAAATGACTACCAAATAGAAAAAATGGATTGCAACGAAGACAACCAAATGACTGAATATAATATTATGTCAGCTGACAGCGTAAATGGACATCATCAAAATCACTTTTTAGACGAAGATTATAGTTCAAACGGTTATCACAATGGACATAATTGTGATGAACTAAGTAATGGAACATCAAGAGTTAATAATAATGGAAATGAAGAATCTATGGGTAGGTTAACAATTTTGATTGTATAAAAACATAACTACATTAACTAATGGTTTTATTGAAATATAGATATTGATCAACCAGAATATCACCAAACTACCAAAAAAGTATGTGGTGGCAGTAAACCTGGTGTTGAAAAAATGTTAGAATTCGGTCGAGAATTATTCTTACTTAGTTTGCAGTTGCGACAAGAATTAGGAAGAAATGAAACAAATAAAAAAATGTTACAAGTATGTATAAAATATTATAATAATAAATAAAATATTATATTTTATTATTAATATGGTTTGTTTTAAATTAGGATGCGTTTAGTTTACTAGCATATTCTAATCCTTGGGATAGTCCTGTTGGTTGGCAATTGGAAGCTTCCCAAAGAGATAGTGTATGTGCAGCACTGAATTCTGCTATTCTAGGTAATTAGAATAGTATACATTAATATTGAATACTGCACTTGAGCTATTTTCATGTCTAAGTAGATATTATCTAATAGTAAAACAATTATAAGAGGTCTTCTTATCCTGCATGTTTTGTGTCCATTTTACTAATATATAATATACTAATATTTAGATTCAGTAGTTCTAATTTTATGTTTTTATCCTAAATATTTAAGTAAATTAACTATTATCAAACTTAAAGGATATTATCTGTGTTCTTTTCTTGGATTTTTATAATATTTTAATTTTTAATCCAGTTATGAGCATTATTAAGTTTTAATGTCTTATATATTCATAACTTGCATAAATTTAAATATTGTAAAAAGTTAACAAGAGAACATAATATTCTTACTTAAAAATTTGATAATAGATTGATTCTCTCTGATTTGTAAGCTAACAACATAAAATTAAAAAACTACTAAAATTTAGTATTTTTCTTTTTAAATTCTTTGTTAAAGTTTTAAACTATTGTACTAAAATCATAACTTTAGAATCGAGTAATTTACCACGACGCCCACCTCTGGAAATGACTGTTGGTCATGCCTATGAACTAGTCAAGCTAATGGCAGCGTCTAGCATGGGAGCATGCGCTTTCACCAATATCGATGAACTGCTCAAATGACCTTCGTGCAATGTGCGCGTTTCACTGCCACCATTCTGCAGGTAAATAACTACAATACTTAGCATTAAACAAATTGTGAAACATTGTTCATGAAATTATTATTTATACTTTTTATAGAGTTCAAAACGGTTGGCCGCCAATTTTGAACACAGTAACAATGGCAAAAGTACTTTAAGCGGTCACATCACCCACAAAAATATTTTGTACAAAATAAAAAAAAACATTAATTGACAATTACATTTTTCTGTATAAGCGTATAAGTAGTATTTTTTCAGATAGAATTTTAAAATATTTACCGTTAACACAATGTAAATTAGCATTAAATTTAACAAATGGAATTTCAAATTTATCTGAAAAATTATTTTCACCCATAAATTTTTCTCTTGTTATTTAATTGTATTATTTAAAAAATTAAAAACTACAAATATTGTATACTTTAAAAGTTTAAAAATTTTGTTAATCTTTTTTATTTTTGCGGACAAATATTTATAAAAATAACAAATTATGAAGGTCTGATTAAATTGTCGGTTTAATATTTTATTATCGGATCCAATTTTTAATTTGTTGTACGTAAATGTTATTTGCGTATTTTATGATCTCTTCACATAATTTATGCAACATATATCAATGATATTTTATTGTTGTAATGTGATTCTTGATTACCTTTTCTTGACAAATAAGTCTTTTTTTTTTATTGAATCAAATGATGTTTTATTTTTTATTAAATAAAAACTTCGAATCGCCAACACTAATGTATAAGATCATTTAAACATTGTACCATATTATTTAATTTATAGTTGTTAGTCTCATATGATTGTACTAACAAAATATAATTAGTTTATTTAAATATAGTTTTTTTTGGAAATGTTTGTTTATTTTTTATAATATTATACTTATTTAGTATGCATAATTATTTGTATGTTTTTGAAATTGCGTTGCCTAGCAACATTTTATAAGTTATCAAAACATTATGCTTCACACCTATAAAATTCATGTTAGTGTGTTATGACATTTTTAATATATTGTAAAAAAACGTGAGTAAAATATATTTTTGTTGTTGTAATTCTTATTAAAATTTTATTAGTTAATGAGTATCGTTTAGTACTATGGACAATGGATTAGTATCTTATAAAAATACAGGTAATAAATTAAAAATTTATGACACGGTCCTAAATAATAAATATTCCTTTGTCAGTAACGGATAAAATAATATTACTTACAGAACCAATAATGCAAGTTTTCAATATTCATGAAAAATCTGATTGGATTATTTATAATCGTTATATACAACGAGATTTGGAATTATGTAAATTATTAATTGATCAAGAGTTACGAAACACTAAGGATAATAATGAATTTGCATTTTATATATTGGTAATAATGTTAATAATGTAAATACATAAATTATATGTTTTATGTGTAGTAATATTGTATAAATTGAATAATCAACTAGGAAATATTTTATTTAACTCTTGTTATTATTCTAAAACATATTTAGTGTATAGTACATAAAATGAAGCAGTATATCGAAAAATATAAATTTTTTTTTTTTTAGGGATTAATATTTAGAGAAGAAGGTAAGATAAAAAATTCATATTGGTGTTTTGATAGATATTATGCTTTGAATCCATTGTGTGTCGAAGGAGTCAAACAAATTGCTCGTTCATGGTAGGTTAATTAATTATAAGTAATATTTATTAATGCAATATTTTATTCTAATATCATACTATTGAAAATTGATGACTGTCATATTTAAAAAAATAAAAATGTAATAACTAATAAGTCAATACACACTTTATAATATAATTTATTTTTAATGTATTAAAGCATATAAGAGATAATAAGCCGCCTGCCTGCTGCTGACAAAGTTGTCCAACACTTATCAATTTTAAACTATTAATCAAAAAGTAATGATATATTCTTGCTTATTAAATATTGATACATATTTCATTAAAATTATACTCCTATCATAGATTCTAAAGAGCAGAACAAAAAATACATTTGTTTTACAATGTCATTATCTTTTGAAACAGTAAAAAATTCTTCGATTTTCAGCTTTGATTGTTGTTTGTGTTAGCAAATTGGATCTAGTTGGTACTTTGTAGGGTAAAATTTTTCGACAAAATTTATTTTGTTTATTTTGTTCTTACCTATTCAAATATGAAGTGTAAAAACTTAACAATCTTACCAAATATTAATACTATCATTTACTAGAGAATAAATAATGTCCACCATACTCTAGTTTTTTTTTAGTTAATCTTAGACGTTTTAAACTTTTTTGGTTATTTTTGATTAAATATTTGATAGCAAATGAAATAGGTAAATAAATTTAATACAAGATTCCTCGTGCATTTTTTTAAATCTAATTTTAAAATAACGAAAAAAAATTTATTTTTAAAGAAATGAATAAACATTTTAAATCGAATGTGAATGATGCCATTAAACAGCAGAATATAATTGAGATTGCGTAGAGCTTCCTGGAAGTTGATCATGTACCTACATATTATGTGGAGAAATAAATGAGAACAGGAAAGGCATCCAATCCATATATCTACATGAAAATGCAACAATTTTGATTCGAGATAGTTACAATAATGTTATTGCTATAATTTATAAAGTGTACAGTAAACCATGATTAAGTCTTACTCCTTGTAAAAATGGACATTTGAATATACGATAGTACGATACTATGTATGACGATGGTCGATGACGTACCTATTCGTTGGTGAAGATGGGCCCATTTGATGTCTAAAATTCTAAATTAGGTATATTCGGTAGGAATTGGTGATAAACTTTGTAAAAAACAACAATAATTTAATATACAAGGTTTAAGTATTAACTCCTGCAATCATACTGAATAATACTTACCTAGATAAATACTTATTGGATACCTATTTATTTGGTTATAATATTTTAGTTTACTTTTGGGAAGGAATGATGAAGCCCAAAAAATGTACTTGGCAGCAGAAAAAATGTGCAGAGAACCAGATACTAAAGTGTATTACAACCTTGGTAAATGTATTACTAACATTGTAAATAATATCTGTATTAAGTACCTACCTAATAGGAATTAGTTTAATACTGTTAACGTTTTCCAATTTTTTTTTTTCTGAATCTAATATTTTGCAACGTTAAATATATTACAATTATAATTCAACAGGTCTATGTTACTTGAACTTAGGAGAATTGGAAAAATCTAAAGAATACTTTCATCGCACAATTCAACTAAGTCGAAATCAAGATGCTTACGAAAAATTAGCCTCAATATTTGCCATAGAAAATAATTTTAAAAATGCGATCAATATATTAATTTCGGCGTCAAAGTTTGTAATTAAAATATTTCAAAATATACTTAATAAATCTCTATTGTAATTTCACCAATAAAAACTAAATATCAATTATCATATTTAGGGCCTGAATTTATATGCATTTACATGTTTTTTCTGAATTATCCAAAAAATAGCTATAGGTAAGCTACAAATTTGATTTGTAATCGATAGATCCTAAATATAAAGTTTTATTTTGCATATTTTGTCATTTTTTGACATGTGTTGCATATTTCTGTATTTTACGATTTTTTTATTGTATGTATGCGGTTTTTAAATGCATAAAATGTAATATTTTGCTTATTTTAATTAAAATAACGTATTTATAGTTATATTTATAGTCCATGTAATTTGACTAAGTCGTTTTCTTATCTTATCTGAGATCAATCAGGACAAGTATTAATGTGTTATTGAATAGATTTTAATGAATCATATATTTGTCATGTTTGTCGTGATCCGTGTGTGCAAATCTTTCATTCGATTTTATTTATTTATACTTAATGAAAATAAAAGACTTTTTTAATCGATTTTTTTTTTTTTGCATATTTTAATGAATCAGTGCCAGTGCATAAATGCATGCATGTTTAGTAGATACGTTTTTAGTGCATATAATTCCGGGCCCTAGTCATATCTATTTACTTTTAAGTTTTAACCCAAATGAATGTAATTTTATTAAAGTTCTAATTTCTAACTAAGGACTTTATTATTGTACCGCTATAGATGTATAGCGTGAACCTACTTTTATATTAAAGACGCTTGTCGTCTATTGGTATTGCTTTACTAGAAAGTAACGTATGTTTACCACTGTATAAAAGTTTAAATCATTATAAAAAAAAATAATTAACGCGAAAGTGAATATAATAATACTTAATATAGAAAAGAAAATACATAATAGGTATTGGATAATTCGCATTCCTTGATTCATTTTAGCACAAAATTATAAAAGTAGATATTACATAACTATATCACATGATACTTAAAAGGAATATTCTGATTTTTAATTAAATCCTTTTTAATAAATTACATAATTAAAATTCTTACTTTTTAGTAATTCCTAAATTATTGAAAAAACTGAAAAATATCCTTTAGTTAGTACAACTTGCTACAATTTCAGTACTATTTTGAGTATCAAACTACACCTTTATACTAAAATAAAAGTGTTCATAGAAGTACTATGTAAAAAAAAAATATTTAACTAAAAATATTCAACTGTAAGACAAGCTAGTCAATTAATCATTTAAGTTTATAATTTTTATCAAAAATTTGTTGGCCGATTATTAAGAACTTATATTTGGAAAGTTTTAGTAGCGATTTAATAATTAATTTAAAGATTATAATATCTTATCAAGCTATTTATTACATTAAATCTAGTCTATATTTAAATAGCTACAATATATTTTGTTTTTCTATATGACATTAAAAAATATTTTATAAATATCTTAATTTTCTCATTATCGTTTTGAATGTTTTATCCAAAAATGGCTAAAACTAATATTACTATACAAAATAACGTGAAAGTTACACTTACAGGAGAACTATCTATAGCTATCCCATAAATATATGTATGTATCAATTAAAATAAAACATAAAAATATATTTTATCTAACTATGTACCTATACTTAAACTAAATCCAGTTATAAACCATTGATTTGCATTTATGTGTTCATGAAAAGGTTGTTTCCATTCAGCACAAATATATCTGTAGACTTGGGTTTGTTGTACATGAAACAACGTGATTATGATCAAGCATTTAACGTTCTCGGAAACACACTGTGTCAGGATCCCGAAAATCCTAAAGCCCTTCTAACATTAGCAGCTGAAATGCAGGTAGGTAAATACTTACTAAACAAATAGTAATCATAATATTGTGTTATAAAAATCTGCCTCTCGTTAAGTAAATACAATTGAAGTCATGTTCATTTTTCATATTTACTATTATAATTCAATTAACTTGTCAATAGAGAAATTGTGGATACGACGAAGCATTGGCCAAGTACACTAAAGCTGTTACTGACTTATCTGAATGCTCTGAAACATGGAATAATATTGGAATGTGCTTCTTTGGAAAACATAAATACGTCGCGGTAATTTTATGAGTAAAAATTTTATAGAATTATTTAAAAAATCTAAAAAAAAAATCGGCAATAGATTTATGGATGTGTACAATTTTAATTCAATGATATATCGTTGTATACAAAAATAATTCCGAACAAAGACAATCTGTCAGCTTTTATGACTAAAGTATATTAATAAAATAAATTATAATTTAATGACGTGTTTTTTGATATTACTATAAAAATATATAATTTTTTTTACTATTAGTATAACGGTAGGTTGACTTAATTTTGTCCTAAAACACTGTATTTATAATAAAGTTGTAAATATTTTTTTTTTCACTTAGTTTTCTTTCTTTTCCAGGCTATAAGTTGCTTAAAACGTGCCATTTATTTGCACCCATTTAATTGGATCGCCTTATACAACTTGGGCCTTGTGCATCTATACACCAGACAGTATGTTTCAGCATTTGTATTCCTTTCAACTTCGGCAAAATTAAACCCAAATCATGCTGGAACTTTTATGCTTATTGGATGTAAGTCAATTAAAACTCAAAATAAATGGTATAATCTTTTATTTATTACACAACATTATGATTGCTATTTGTCTAGTAGGTATTTAGTTTATAGTTTTAAAAATATATCAAAATGTATCACTGAGAAATGTATTGCTTATTATATTTAAATATATTTTACGTATATAATACACACACTGCTGAAATTATCTAAATGCAGGCAATCGTGCAAGGATTGCTTGATGACCTATCGACCTCAAATACACACCATAATATGACGTATTAAAATATTACGTACTATTAAATAAAAAATATTAAAGGTAGGTAGGTTGAGATGGATAAATATTTTAAGAATGTATTATGCGAATATAATATATTACTTATAAATTATACCTAATAATTGTCCGGTATAAATAAAAATTGTAACATAACAGAACTACCATTTCCATGAAAAATGTAAATGTAATATCTTGATATGCTCTATATTTTTATTCACCCGAGAGGTTAATATCATATAGTTAGTATAGTTAGTGGCTCAGAGCATTTATAAAAACTGAAAAATTCAAATGTTGTGTTGATATCATTGCCATGAGCGCAGCTTCCAACTATATCATTTTATTACACATTACCTTTATGAGTATATGATTTAGGCAGATACAATAAAAACATTTGACGATGTATAAAACCTGACTCGGTACCGAATTACTGAATTGCTAAAAGGTCGATTTTAAATTACGATGCTGCGGCCGTCAAAGTATATAAGTTGCTCACTGTTTATTGCAGGTAGATACGTCTACAAAACGGGCTGCGAACATTTGTTCTTTCGTACTCTAATGATTTGTTTAGATGCTTGATGGAATACAATCGAAGAATATAAAACATGCAACAAAAAAATTCATTAAATGTTTATGATCATTTTAATTAATTTTATTTTTACTACTCCAGTACTCCATAACCTGCACTGCCATACTACTTGTGTATGATTTATGTGTGCTCGTGTGATTTTAAGTAAAACAATAATCGATAATTTAATAGTATTATGAAGTGATCGAGATTCGAGTGTATTCTTGATATTAAGCTATTTTATATTTCGTTCAGACAATTTATACGATGTATGAATATATATGTACAGTGTGTAAACGCTAACTGAGAACACTCAATAAATTTGCGTAAAGTTAGAGTCACTGATGAACAAATTACAGCTGCAACAAATAAAGAATTTATACGACGCGCTGAATCATATTTTGTTCACGGTGGACAACAATTTGAACAATTTATACGTTAAATTAATTAATTACTAAATAAACTTTTAACTTAAATAAGAATTGAATTTGTTATTAATTGTTAATACATCCTAATAGATCTATTAAATATAATGAAATAAACAACATACTTATTTTCTGCTTTAAGTTATAACTCATACACAGATTACAGTGAAAATTATACAGCAATTAAAATTATAATTATGTGCGATTATCAACTTAATAATTAGGAATGAAAATGTCAAATCTAAATAATCCTAGAATAATTATTTTTAGAGTTACAAGTCAAAAAACTGTAAATCGCGTGAATTTTGCAGTTTTTTGGTTAAATTGCTATAAATTGGTCAATTTTGGACTTAGAAAATTAGTTTAACTATCAAAATTCATAAAAAAAATTAAGCGAAAATAATTAATGATTAAAATAGACGGTTACCATTTAAAAAAAAAAGTTGTACTGCGCATGCACATGTTAAAAATATTCAAAGGCCATACAAATGTATATTTTTATGTCATTACAACAGATCAAAACACAGAATTCAAATTGCAGGACTTTATGCAAATTTATTGAGTGTTTTCAGTTAGCGTGTACACCGTATATATGGGCGAGTAGCCTATATTTGGATTTATTTATAAGCTATTATTATTATTTTTTATACTTATAATAATAATTAATAACAACGGCATCGCCACAGGTCGCATTTACTTATCGCATACAGTATAAACAATGTTGTAATATAACGTAGTCCCGTGTTTTATTTTAATTGTTTGCGTTAAATGAGACTATGAAAAAAAAACCGAAAAATGTAAAAATAAAAAGTAATACTAAGTTAATTTTAATATAGGATTATAAAGGTATTTTTCACATACTTCTAACAAAATTACTTTTATCCTGTTAATTTTTGGTTTGACAAAAAAAAATTCTCAGCCTGAAATGCTGACCCATTCCACCCCTGGCTTCTAGATTAAGATGAAAAATAATAAAATTATTAACTATAAACTATATAACTAGGTATCTAAAAAATAAAAAATATTTTAATACTGTATCTAGTATATCTATTCCTATTAAAATATATTTGTTTTATTAAATTATTTGATTAGTGGCATTAAATCATATGAACGATACAAGGAATGCGGAAAAGGCTTATCGTAAATCCATTGAGTTAAATTCAGATAATCCAGAAGCGCTAATAAATCTAACAATTTTGGAAGTTAATCAAGGAAAAATGAAAGAAGCCGAAAAAAATTTCCATGCTTTTCAAGAAGCATGCCTATCGTCTGGTGCCATAGACAAAGAAGTAACGTTAATAATTCATAAAAAAAATAATCTAAGCAATATTATCGTTTATCTATAATAATTATTACATTGTACCTATAGATAATTGTGTATTTACTGACTACTGTTTAATTTTTGAGGGTTGCTACTTGAATTTGGTCGAGTAATGTATATACTCGTATATATATATATACTTACTTTGTCTAAAAATTTTTCATTTGCTTTAATATGTATGAAATTTTTTCTGGTGTGTAATTTCACATATCAATCAATTTCATTCTAAATTAAAAACAAGTGTGATACAAAATTGACTTAAGGTATTTTTAGACAAATACAATATTTTACTTACATATTTTGCACGTTATAGGGCGTATATAAATGCATATTTATCTATACAGGGAAAGATTTAAGGCACTGCGAACTATACGGCTAAATTTTGGAGGGCGCCAAATTGTGTTGAATATTTATTTTGTTTTTATGTACTAAATAAACTTAAATAACTTTTAATTTATTTTAGCTTATTTAATTGTTTATAGAATATAGATATTATACACTTTACGTTATATAAACATTCGTTTTATAGAAATCGTTATCTATCTAATATTAAAAAGTTTACTTGAAAATTCGATTCTAAAGTTTATAATTGAATCAGTTGATAGTTGTCCGCCTGCCAATAAGTATACGTACGCGTAAGTTATTGATTATACAAAATTTTGTCTATCAGATAGATATTATTACAGTAATAAGAACGTTTTATTTTTAAACTTAAATAAAAAAATAATTGCATATTATTTAGAAAATAAATTTATTTAAGGATATTTAGTTATATGAATTAGATATTGTGTTATTTTTTAGGATAAGGGCAGTAAATTTAATTTGGCATATGAGCAGCAAATTGTTAAATCTTCCCATGTACCTGTAGCTGTTTTGTTTATATTGAATATTCAGGAAAAAATATTGACTTAGTCTGTCATAAATTCTTTCAAAAAATTATTTTTATAATACCTATTAATTTTTTGATATGCATAATATGCGTACTCTTATGGGTATATTTTAAGCTTTTAAGGACTGCACCCGAATTGCATGCCACCTCTTAGAGGGGTCTGTCCGAATTGCATGTAATGTACCCACAAGTTTATCTTTATTCATCATGCACTTATTTTCAAAACTTAAACTTTATTTTTGACTTTTCTAATTTTTTTTTAAAAAATTATGCTAAGTTGTATATTTTCAAAAACTCCACCAAATTTTATAGTATTATTATTTATTTGAAATGCCATGTAAAAATGTAAAATACATTCACTCGATTACCTTAAACTACAATCGTTTTATTTAATATTCACAGTGTCATCTTCTATAATTTGGTAAAATGTTATCTCGGATATAAAAATATTTCAATTTTGAGAGGGTGAAATTTTGGAATCCCCCTTTTCATCCTACTAGTGCATCAAGGGGTACCACAAATCTCTAAAGATGGGTCAACTATAATTTGGCAACGATATCCTGGAGATCAATGTAAATAGGTAAAAATAAGACCGTAGCGGTACTCATAATCCACCATCCGACGTTACGATAACATTGTGAGGCAGCTGAAACTGATTTTTTGAACAACATGATTAAATGATAGTTTTTTCTCACGAAACAACGATGTTTCATGCGTACGAACTTGTAAAATGTTTTTTTATCGTTCCGGCCACATTAAAAACTGGTTCGGCGTACGGCAACGTGCCTAACGCGCCCCAAAATCTCTCAGAAAATGTTTCTTCCACCTGCCGATATACGCGAGTAGTTAATATTTATTATTTTTAACACATCACACAGTGTGTTAATATTGTGTGGTGTAATCTTAATAAATATTATTCATAATATTACATTTTTAAATTCAACTCCAGCCCCTTGACGTGGGCCTATGTCGCCTACCCCTTGAGCATGGGCTCGTAATAACTAGATGGGTAGGCCGATATATAGTAGACATATAGTTCCAGTCTGCAATTGAGCATAGATCATGGTGCAGATCAACATGTTATACGCTCAATTTTTACTTTAATCAATGTTATATTATAATAGCTAGCATTTTTAATTCGTCCTGGCCATTTAATCCTATATCCTAGACGTGTGTGCCATTTATAGTTACACAATATTTAGTAGTTTAGTACTGCAGTATAGTACCTACGTATATTATCACGGTCTCACTATGTATTACTATTTTCGATTACATTAAAAAATTAACAATAATAAACTTTCGACTGAATCTCGTTTCATCGTTTGTTTCACGTACTACTAGTTGATATTTTAGTACCAGGTTATCGGTAAAGTAAAATATAATATATTAAAATTTTATTTCAATTTAAGTTAAATTGTACTCTGTATAACAACTTTACAGGTGTCTTGTTTAATTTAACATCAAAATCCTTTCATATTTCCGTTTGGTATTGTTAATATTATGTTAGTAATAATTATGTCACAAATACACTATATCAGATATGGAAAATATTTTATAGTCACTACCACATGTTTATTTAGAGACAATCATCATTCTCAAACAAAAATAATTTTCAGTAAAAATATTTTTCTAACATATAATTCAAATGAGCTGTATAATGTATTTTTTACTACCTTTGTATTAGCCAATGTACGTAAGTACTTACAAACTCGTCGAAAAGACATTCGTCAGATTCGTCAAACTCGTACATAATTATAGGTTTAAAATTCTAATACGTTAAAACTAATTAAAATTATTGAGAACTTGCTGCTTCAATAAAAACCGGAATGATCAAAATATAAACAAATAAAACATTTGGTAACGACGCGTAATAACATATAGTAGCTGAATTACCTGTCATTGCCGAGTAATAGTAAAAAAATAAGATTGTTGAATAATTATACATGAATAATGAATATATAGTTATAAATTATAATAATACAACAATAATGTTTAGGAAAAACTTAAAATGGAAATTAATATTAAATTCTTAAGTTAAATAACGTTTATAAATATCCCTAAACACAATAAGTATAACATATTCATATGGAAAAACTACAAACATTTCACCCAATACAAACAAATTTACAGTTAAACGAAAATGTCAATGTATTTTTGTATTATTATTATAGAATTTTTTTATAAACTATAAATATATTTTTGTTCTTCGGTATTATTTGTAATTTTAATTTTTCAAAAGATCTAACTCTGGACATGACCATACAAAGTTAACCATGACTAAATATAGGTTGGAGTAAATACTAAATATGACCCTACTTTAATACTTTATCCAATGTTTGTCTCTGTGCTTTGTTTATTATCATACCAAAATTAATTCTTATAGGAAATTGACGTCTAGTAAACAGAACCCAACTTAGGGGGACTAGGGGGACTGCAGCCCCTAGTCCCTGTTAATATTTAATTATTAAAGTGGCACTGTGAAATTTTAAGATATTATTGCTTATATAGTTTTGTTAGTCACGTATCGTAATGAAATTTATGTTAATTCTCTAATCGATAAAATAAGTTAGATATTAAGTTTCAAGATAAAGTTAGTCAAAAGCATTATATCATTATGATTAAATTAGCATTGACTATAGAAATATCACGGGTTTTCTGTTTTTGCGAGTACTCAGTTCTTGTCTAAATGCGGGTATAAAACAAATTCAAAATTAGAATCAATTAAAAACACCAGAACATCCCTTCGTCAAGAAAAATTAAACTCATTCGTCCGTCCATCTTTATCTGCTGAAAGGGAAATAACTAACACACTTAATTTTTCAGATCTAATTCAAAAGTTACTAAAATCTAGAAAAAAAACCGTTGTCTTAAATTCTAAATCATGTAAAATTTTTTTATTATTTACATTGATTAAGTTGAAAAATACATTACCACTTTGATTTTGTGTACAATGTACATGATGATATCAATAAACATTTGTTTAAATTAAAAACTGTATCTACATTTCTTTATTTATATTTTTAATTTCATCGTTTTATTTATTATTAAGTAATAATTACTTGTTGACTTATGGTATAATTTATTTATAATCCTATAAAATAAATTGATTATAAAAATCCATATACCTAGTTGATAATTTAGAATTTAAATAATAATTAATTTTGGGGCCCCATCAAAATATTAAACCCGGGCCTCAAAATTCCTTAGTTGGGCTCTGCTAGTAAATGAAAAGGGAAGAGTAGAATCTGACGGGGTCAAATCAATTCAAGGCGATAAAATATATACTGTCCAATTTCTTAACCAGTTGTGAATTCTAAGTCTGAAGAATGTTCGTACATATTTCGTACATTACATTTCGTACCATTCATTAGACTAGACACTACATTTAAATTTCTTAAGAGTATTACAATAGCACAGCAGTAGACGGCATTAAAGTTATCTCTGTGAAGGGTCACGATTGTGTACGTGCAATGACAACCGGACAACGCAGCAGTACTACAGACTGCAGTAGACTTAGGAGCATACGCGTAGTTAGGAAGAAGGGGGCTTAGCCCCTCCCCCCCAAAAAATTCAGACGAAACCCTCCACGAGTCGATACACGTCTACCCTTAGGAAGGCTACAGCCCTATCAAAAAATCTTACCACCCTGCGCCTATGCTTGGGAGTAATGGGGGTTGTAAAAATTTGTGTGTACCTACGGCAAACAACGTGCATCGCTACGCAAATACACGGAAAACTAAATATTTCCAAAAAAAATTTAAATAATAAATTTTCGGAATTTTCTTATTAAAAGAATTAAAGAAATACCTAAAAAAGAAGACCCCGTATTCAATACACAATTGCTTGAAGCAGTCAAAAGTAAAATAACGTCATCTTCTTCTGACATTCCGAAAAACTGAACGTAATTCATAAACATTCTGTAGTTTCATTATTTAAGTATACAGATGGTGGCTGGTCACTTAAAACCATAGTTAAGTTTAAGTAGAAAACACTAATTTTTTCTAATACATAGATTATTTTTAAATGTTTTAAATACAATATATATATTATATAATTGCACTTGTATTAATATATTATATATACTATTTATATAGTCATAAATCAATAGTTATCTAGATGATAAAAAAATATAACATACTTTTCTTAGTTTTACATAAAAACTTCTAATAGTGGAACGAGAAGGGGGAATCTGATATAAATAGTAGTAATATTGTATTCAAAATTAGAGTTCGTCTCAATACAAACTATAATATAATGTCGGTCGTAGCACTCGTAACTTAATCGTAATATTACCCGGCACATCTCTAAATCTATTTCCAGTCAAATAAAATTCTCAAGCTAATCTTCTCTGTTTTAGAATGTAAGTGTTAAAAATATATTAGTTCGAAATTAGGTAATTGATAACAAACTTATTTTATTATATTTACATTTTTATCTGCAATACCGGATAGCGAAGTCTAAACTCTAAATTAATAAAGCCTTACAATACTTAAAGTGGCACAGAATGGCAAAAGGTAATATAATATTTATAACGTATTTAACGTTTTATTAGTGTTCATCTTAAATACTTAACTTAAATAATTATTATTTATTATAATCATTTTAAATTGTATTACGGTGTTAAAACCGATGGTGGGTGAACTTCGGGAGAGCCTTGCGTGCTCGTCATTATTTCTAATCACTAAATAAATTATGATATGTACTACTCCAGAGTCCTACACTTTTACTCTATGTCACCAAATTATAAATTTTATCTGCAAATTTATAAAATTCTAATTTTTGAAATCAATTTATTATAAGTTATACTACATCTAACGGCTTGAACTTGTGGTTTTTGCTGTCACAGCTTCACCGGCGGTGATCGCTGTTATCTAACATCAAAAGTATAATATTACGATTTACGACCGTTGTTCGTCATTGATTTCAGATTATCGAACTCGGAAAACAAGTATCGGACGTTCTCGACGGACAACCGCGATCTCCAGATAAAAACGACGACGAGAAGCCCGGGCGTGATGAGCCCTGCTACGCTGAGGTAGAATAACGTTCCTTTTACAAATATTTTTTTCCAGAAAAAAAATGCAATTATAATTTTAATAATAAATATCAAAGTATGTTATGCATTAATTATATAAATAAATACATAATATATAACACGCCAAAATTAGGTACTAAAGTCCTTTAGCTTCCCCTAGAACCGAGCCTACGTTTGCAAGTGGCTCATATTAATTTTAAACAAAATTGCACAAGTCTGAAAATTATAGAATGGAAATTAAGTACACGTTATTGAAATTTCACCGTAAAAATTTGAGTAGAATTTAAACCGTGTTTTAATAACTTATATAATATAAGTATTTAATAATTTAGTAAGCATTCAATTTCCATATAAATAAATAATAATTTAAATTATATTCAGTCGTGTTTCTTTTTTGCTTAAAACCTAAATACCTATATTATTATTACAAGGTTAAAGAATAAGAATAAGAACATTGAGTGGTTACTGAAATAAATTCACCATACAAATCACTGTTGAATTTATTTACCTAATTATTAGAGAAATTATATTTATCCAATCAAAATAGTATTAAAAATATTATGAAAATATTATAACAATATTATCAGGTAAGAGGTATCTAATAATTTCCAAATTTCTTGAGTCCAATTTTTATATTAAGGGTAGTTAAGTTAGGTACCTATTTTTTTCTTCCAAGAGACCATCTAAGCAAAATAAAAATTGAAACATCATTGTTTCAAATTTTTAAATAGTAATAAACACTTCTACAGTGCGATTATTTCCAAGATATTTGCAGTAAAGGCTTCAAGTAATTTGACTTAAGTATAAAAGTGCAACACACATATTATTAAGTACATCAGTTTTATTTTTATTAACACAATAACATAATGTTAATTAAGTTTTGTCACAATTAATAATTATATATTATATAAATAATAATTAAGTACTCCTAGGGTTATAAATTATGATATACAGTAATTCCATACCTTTGATATCTATAAACGCAATGATATCAACTAAATATGAGAGAAAGATATTATAAATGAATAAAGTATTACAAATAAATTGGACTGGGTATCACATTTAGTACATATTATTATGACTTATGTTTACATAATACATTAGTACATGAATTAATTTAAAAATAATAATGAGTAGATAATATATATTATGTAGTTTCAATAAAATAATTGTTTTGAGGTATACTCAAAATAAGTCAGTTCTCAAGAACATTAACAAAGTATAATACAATATATTTGAATAAAAATACAATTTTTACCGAATTAAGACACTAAAATATTAACATAGCCCATAAGTATACCATATACATATTATATTATTTGTGATGTAATAGTAGCTTGTAGCATAATGATATTATTTGTGATGTAATAGCCTATATCACAATGATATTCAGTGACTAGCCCAAAATTCAATCCATAAATCATACTTGTACTATGCAGGGACGCAACTAGACATTATTAAAGATGGTGTCATGAGTACTTAAATTACTAATATCTACATAAAACCAAACAATATTATATATTAGTACCATTACGGCCCCTTGCTATAAAACGATTAAACAAAAAAAAAAAGTTAGAAAATATAAGAGTTGATTATCACATAATATAGATATCTATTATCCAACACCCAATGGTCGAGCTTCTAACATAATATATATAAATTTTACTACGTATTTAGTATAAGTGGGCAGATACTATAAGTTTTATACTATTATAATACAGTAGAGCGTTATTGTCCAACGGTTTGATAAAAAATTAAGAAAAAACAATAAAAGAAATTTAAAAATGTATCATTTTATAATACATTTAAATGAATTTTTACATAATAAATAATAAAGGTAATATATATTTTTAACAGAAATGTTTTTAGTACATACAGGATGTATTTGGAGAATATGAAGATTTAAATGAACAATTGTTTAATCTTTCAAATACATACTATATATAATCAGATTTAAGTAAAATTATTTAATTATTTAAATATTTCAAATAAATCACACATACTGAAAATTTTGATTATTCTGTTATCATTGTCCTTCTTAATTAGTTTAGTCAATCAAAACTCTACTATATTATCATCCATAGTGTAAACATTATATATTTTATTGAATATAAACAAATGATAGATTATCCCCCAAAAATGTTTTATTATAAGATATATTAATTAATGATATTTCACAACACTGTTTTCCGTATTTGTTATTATTTATGGTTAAAATTATGAAGTAAATAAATATAAAAAAAAAAAAAAAACACTTAAAAATTTACAAATTTTACAATTTCCAAACACTAAAAGTTCATATAATAATAGAATATCCAATTTTGATTGGTCAATAAAATAACATAGATACACATTGTCCCTACACCATTTAATTTTAATGTTAACGTTACATAATAATATTGAAACTTCAATTTCTTTTTTTTTAATTCAAATCAACAGATAGTAAAAAAAAAGAAATTTAAGGTAAGGTAAGTACAACACTACAACAGTAATAAACAAGTAAAAACAATTTAAAAAAAAACATAATTTAAACCCACAATGTAGATTATCCTACATTCCTAAAGGTAATTAAGTTTGGTAAGTATTTAAACAAAAACATTATAACTCAATTTCGCATTTAAGGTATAACGTTAAATTCATAAAAAATATTGCAACATGTTTTGTTCATTTTGAAATGGGTAATAGTATTACAAATAAATGAGTCAATAAAATGAATAAAATTTTTAAGAATAATAATAATAATTAAACATCTTAGAACTAATTTGACAACAAAATAAAATACAAAAGTGTATAATTGTATATTGCACATAAGAAACTGGCTGCCATAAATGAGAATAATTGTAAAAATGGAATAATAGTATACTAGAATATAATAATAAATAAATAAATTTTAAATATTAGCATTAATGCGCAAAAATATTATGGCACCATTGTTTATTTTTATTGAGCTTGCAAGGAACGAAAGACAAACTAATATTTATGTGCCGTGAATAGATAATTTTTTTTTCTGTTTAAATCGACAATATTAAATGTTTCAAACAAAAAGTAATAATATTAAAAATAATAATACTTGTACGCACAAAAAAAAATACTTTTTTTAAGTAACAATATTAAATTTAATTTGTTGAATAAACAAAATAAGTCATTGAAAAAAATGTAAATCAAAAAATAAAATACTATAAACCAGTAATAATGTTAAAAAAAAAAGGTAATATTAAAGAAAATATTAAAAAATTAAACAAAGGTTACCAGAGAACCAAGTTAGGACGGCAATTCAATGCGTAATATTAACAACCGGATATTCAAAAACAGGACGGATATTGAAACCACGGTTATAAAGGGACTCAATATTTAATGTCAAGACTTAGTTTAAAAAATAAAAATTGTATAGAGGACGGTTTACACTTATTCTGATCAACCTTACCCATGAGAGGTGAGAAATATCACAAATAATGTTGTTGGTTTTTTGTTGATTTTTGTTTTCATACAAATAATAATAATATCGTGTCTCACCAGTCTCGGCGTTGAGGCTGACTGTACCTTTTAGAGGTTTTTGACGGTGTTGAAGAATTGGGTGTACCCATTGATCGTCGTACATTTTTCATCTCTCGGTCCATTTCAATTTCCTCTAACCGTTGAGTGACCATCAATTTCTGTTGCACAGACAAACGCAACAATTGATTAAGTGTCTTTTTTTCTTCTTCAGCAGCTACCAACTGTCGTTGTAAATCATCCATGTGAGTTACTTGTTCTTCACACCGTGCAGCAAACATAGCTCTCAAACCTGCAAACAATAAATTGATAAGCTTACATGTATTGTAAAAAGAACATAGCAAAGATTAAATATTAAGTCCAAGTATTTACTTGAAAATGTAGCAGCATCTTCTTTGAGTGTACGTAATTCATTACGCAGCTTGGTCATGGTTTCTGTAACAACCATTTTCTCGTTGTCGTACTTGGATTTCAAATTATTCAATGCTACCTCAGCAGTATTTTTGTTAGTTTTTAGAACCATGCGCAATGATGATATTTGTTCTCGCTTTGTTGCTAAGAGAGACTGTAATTTCATTACTTGTTCTCGGAGATCAGACAATTCATCATTATTGTCCAACATTGAACTTCTTTGACCTACAAAAGAATTTTAACATATAAATAATTCAATAGCTGGTAATAAGTTATTAAAAATATTATCAATTACCGTCAATATTCTCTCGATTAACAGCTTTAGCATTATCTATTGATGTGTTTACAGATTCTTTAAGCAATTTGATTTGGTCAAGTACGTTTCTCAGACTTTTCGCTACAAATGATGCTTCAGTGAGACTTTCTAATTCTTTTATGAATACATCAGACTTGAGTCGCGTTCGTAAAACATCCAGGCGGGGATCATTTTCTTCTGTTTCTTTTGGTGTTTTTACAACTAGGATAAAAAGTATTACATATTATTTCATCTATCTGAATATTAAAAAATAAAAACAATATACCAATAGTATTTAAGGTTATAGATTTTCCATTCAACACAGAAATTTGGAGAGCAAGTTGAGCTAATTCGTCAGTAATGACTACAAGGTCATTTTGTGCATTATCTAAAGAAGCACTAGCATCTGTAGCCAGTTCTCCCAGCAAGCGAACATTTGACTCAAGTTCCATTGTCTTTTGTTCTCTATCTATTAACTAAAGAATATAAATATGTATAAATTATGAACAAATATGCATAATATTGAATAGTTATTAAAATATCTTCTACAATAATTAAAAAAATAAGTTAAAGTACTTTATTTTTGAGCATGATTAATTCATCTTTTAATGATAAGGTTTCTTCAGATGAATTTAACTGTCGTTCAAGTTCTTCTAGATCACCGTGAAGCTGGTCTATTTCTTTGGATGCTAAACTAAACCACTGTTGATAATACTCTAAAGCTGCATTTGATTTTCCATCTTCTGTCTATATTTAATCATATGAATATTACAATAAAATAATAATCAAAAGTTTTTATAAATTAGCGATTAAAACATACCTTATGGTCAGAAACTACTTTACTGGTTTGAGTACCAAGATGTTCCAAAGATCTTATGTGTGATCCAAGTTTATATATACGAGATGCTAAATTTTCCAAATCTGATTTACATTTATCAGATGCTGATTGAGACTCTTTAAGGTTCTGTGTCAACAAGCTCTTCTCATTTTCAACTTGTTCCAACTGTTTCTCTAATTTCTTCAATTCATTAAGATGTATTTCACTAAACAAATCATGTTTTCCACATTCTGGTAATTCCATGGTTGAACCAATATCATTTTCAAGTTTACGTAACACAGGCAAATCATCTTCA